TCAGCAGGAGTTTGATGTTCAGAAGACCCAAGTCTGTAGCCCCAAAACTTAATTGCCCTTGAGTAAGCATCCTCACTTTCTATGTACAGAAGTGATGAAATCATGTCAGGAAAGGTTCACCATATGCGTAAATGTGGATTAAATCAGGGTCTGTCTCAGTTCTCTATTAGTAGAACACTTCCTTTTCTTACTCTTTTGTTTCTTAGTTCAGTTTGTAAGTGATCCAGACCAGGTACTTACATGTGTGCTGCTGTCTAGCGCTTAGTAACTTTATACTTCTGTGGCACAAAGAAGTTGCATGCAAGTGGTGTCTCCTCATAAGCTGGCTTCCTGCAGGAGTTATAAATATTATTTGGTACGTTTTTTTCTTTTAAATATTGAATTATGTCTTGAAACGGAAGATCCTAAAGATGACTTCTTGTCTATTTGAGTTGTCATTCTGATTTGTGTGCTTTAAATGGGTGTTTCACTCAGTGGGGCATGGGGGCGGATCAGGACTACTTCCTTAAAGAGTTTGTTTTATTTTGATAACCTTAGATATGTCTAGCCTTGGTGTTAACAAGTAATCATTCATAGAAGTCATATACTCTTCATAGAAGAGGTGGTTCATAGGCAGAAAAGAGTTGAGAAAGGCCTATCATATTGGTGGATGTATGAACTAAATTTCACCCTTTCCTCATGTAGTTTCTCAAGTCGGTCTAGCTGCTTATTAAGAGGCATGTAATGGGGATTGCTGGTTTTAATGTAATGAAGTTCATTCTGGACTCCGAAGGAAAGAACAGCTTATCTGAGTTTTGGATTCCATCCTGAAGCTGGTAAAGCTCTGTGCAAAACTGGAATGAACTAGTCAAGGCTACAGAGTGTGGTGACAGCTTCAGTTTTGTTCTGCTTTAATAAACCAAAGGAAGCAGTAACTTCAAAGGAAAAAAGAAATGGTGCGAAAGTTCTCTTAGAACTCACTCTGTGCCTGGCTGCCTGATTTGGCTTTCCATTCCCTGCACCTGCAGTTCAGCATGAGTGTTGCAGACCTTTGCCTGGCAGCAGCGATGCCAGGGTCCTGCCTGTTAGGGGTGCAGTCATCCTCGTGGTGAGGTGCTGGCTTTTTAGTATGAGGTTGTGTTAGTTGGTCTGGTTCTGCCACTTCAGTTCAACTTTTCTGCTTTAAAAACAAGTCTTAAAGTGAGGTGGGAGTGACTTCGTACAGTACCAAAAAAAAATAATGGATTTTTTGTGAAAAAGATTAAACAAAATCTTTACTTTCCATGCTACTATCATGGGGAGGGCAAAGGAGAAATACTGAAATGTTCCTGTACCCCAAATCTTCAAGAACAAATCTGGAATGCCATCTCCTCCTGCTCTTTGCAGTGCTCCACACTTCAGCCTTAAAGGCACTCTTCAGTGTCCTTAACACGCAGAGCTGCCTGACTTGCAGGCGTGGTGACCTGTAAAGGCACGGTGACATAGGTAGTCCTCACCGTTGCCAGTGTGAGAGGGCTGAGAGTACGACACTGGTGCAAGTCTTTGGTATATCTTGTGTGCTTTTTCCTGCCTTTTTGATCGCCTAGGATTATTTGAACATCTGAGGCTTGGGGAAGATACTACTTGACTAATTGGATCTTTCCTATATTGGCTAATGGGGGAGAGGGGGCATCTTGGACATGAGGACATTACTTGAGTAGGCACAGAAGCAGTTTGAATTGTAATGCAGAAGATATCCATTACTCTCCTTGTGGGATGAGAGGAAACAGGCCAGGGCGCAGTAGGTAACTCCACTGCCTTGTAGGAAAATCATTGACTCTTTAAATACAGCAGAGCAAGGCTGATTTCTTGTTGATGCTGGTGAGTCTAGCCAAAGCCTCAGAGCTCTAGAATGACTTGGTTTCTTAAGTTAGATGCAGGTAAAGATGTGTTTTCCTGGCATTGGTGATGTCAGTTTGGAACTGGCTCTGATCTAGATTAGGTTGTCTTAGAGCTGGAGATGTCAGACTTGAGCACTTCTCATCTCAGGATGCCAGCACATGGGTTGCCCTGCTGATGGCTGGGCTCTTACTAGTCAGGGCTGGGTATCAAGAGCCTGTAAAATGTTGAATTTCACTGATGGTCACAACTATTAAAATACCTAAACCAAGAGAAATAAATACTGCATAAGGAATATTTAGGCATTTGTTCACAAGCTTGTAAGTTACCCCCAGCACCTTCTCTTAATTACTTTGTGTAAGTTGAGTTCATATATTTAGCTTTACGTGTAAGTAATCACTAGTGTAAGTGGTTGCTTATGGTTCAGATGCTGATGTGCCTTTTATGTTTTAAAGCTTAGAGCTCTTTGTGGAGGCTGCTGCACTTCTCTGCACATTAGTGCTGGTTTTTATACAGTAGTCTTATAGGCTTTCTATGGGCTTCCTTCTCTGTCCTCAGGTTCTGCTTCATGGGCTGGTGCAGGCAGTACTTCAACTGCTCGTATTTTAGGAGAAATTTAGGGTGGGTGCACTGTTTCTTCCTTCCTCCTCCCTGCCTTTCCTTCCTCCGCAACCTGGAACTGCACAAGGAACTGTGGCGATGCTTTTTTTTTTTTTTTACACTGAACTTTCCAATCTGTTTCTGCCTTCCAGTGACTGCTTTTGTTCTGCTAACAGGTTATATTTGCCTGTGGCAAGTCATGAGCTTTCAAGGCTTAGGTGAAACAGGTTGCTATATCAGTAAGCAAAAGCTCTCCAAGCTGTTTGCTCCAACTTGCAATTTAGTAAGTATTGATTACCATGGCCAGTTTTCACACATGCTTCACGGGATATCTTCGTTCCCTAAGGCAGCAAGACCCCTGGGCTAACGTTAGTGATGTTTGTTGCCTGAGGAAGGCTCTGAGGGATGAGAGATGTACCCCTATCAGCTGTCCTCCAGGTAGGAGTATTTCCCAGCTGCCTAGGAGGGGCAGCCAGGTAGTTTCTAGAGCTGTTTTGAAGAGGCTACGCTGGAAGCAATGAAAAAGGTGTAGGGGAGGAAAATGTCTCAATTTTTCTAGTTCAATGAGGTATATCAAACTTTTTACAAGGAGGAGGATATTTGAGAACTACTTCAAGGCGTGAGTTTCTCCTCTGACTATTTTAGCGTATTTTTCTGATCAGATAATGCTGTCAGTTGTAGGCTATGGAGCTTCTAGGGAAAGCAGTAGTGGTGTAGAAGGTGGAAGTAGGCAAGAAGAAATGTAAAGGATGATGAAGTGCAGGGGGAGTGCTAGTCTCTGTAGCTGCCTTGTGCCCCCTCGCTCGTTTGTTCAGTAAGGTGGAATCTGAGGGGCTTGGATCAATCAGATCATTCAATTAATTTGAATTAATATTGTGTGTTGTCACCTGGCCATTTGCCACACAAAAATGCTACTAATCTAGTGTGCTTTATGGGTGCAAGGTTGTAAATGCATTGGTACTTAGGACTTAAATCTAGCAGTGACTTGAAGATAATGAACTGGGAACATGTGGAAATATAATTGCTCACGTGGCATGTGTTCCTGTTGGGATAAATGTTGGAGTCCCTATCAGGTTTTCCTTGGGAAAGGTTTAAAGGGTGGAAATGAGAAAGGTGTTTATGTGTGCGCAGAGCCAGACCTCTGCTGGGAGGCACCAGTACTTACTGCTTACGTTGTGTGTGTTGCAGTAACAGAAATGTGAAGTCACGGGGCAGAGGAGTGGCTGGATATGTCCTTAAGTCTTGAGCTTGTCTTGTGTTTTGTGGCAGTGCATATGAATCTGGAGTTACTAGAGGGGAGAGATTAACTTGCATCTTTTTTTAGCTGAAATAGATACAAGCTCTCAGTTGCCATGTCTGTAAACCTAACTTCTTTCTCTCTTCATTTGCAGTTACATTGTCTCATATCACGCAGCTGGTTCTGAGTCACAACAAGCTTACAAGTAAGTATACTCGTGTTTTCGGACATGATTACAGGCAGTTGAGCAATATTGCAAACATGACACTGCTAGTTTGATTTTTGTTTTTTTTTTTTTTTTAAAATAGAGCTTCTTGGTGAAGCACTTTATTAAAAATAAAGAGATTGAGGATGTGACTTAGCAGCTGTGCTCAACATGCCTTTCCAACTTCCATACAAATGTGCCACATACCAGAAGATCTGTAATTCTCAGTCTTGTTACCAGTTCAGCCAAAAATCCGTTCCCTACCACAGCTCTGAAGTCCTTATGTTTAGGTGAGGACTTTTGATTTTTTTTTTTTTTTAAACTGTATCAGAAATGATACAGTTTGCATTTTAGGAGATGGATAACGAATTTGACTGAAGCAAGTGAAAATAAATTACAACTCAACCGCACTATATCTATAACCAAACATATTTGAGCAAGGCCAACATGAATGTCAAGCAGTCTACTTCTGTCAAAAAAAAAAAAAATCTTTTGAGTGTAAGTTGTGTATTGCTTGTACTGTACACACCACCTTCAGTTATAACCTTGTGGATCCTGCTTCCCATAGTAAAGAAGCCCTCAAGTGAGGGGTTGTTGAACAGCATGTCATGAGAGCAGCATAAACATGAGACTTAATTTAGTGGAGGCAGATATCAGACTGGCTTTTGCAAGGCAAAAGAAATTATTTCTTTGTAGGAGAACATTTCAGGCTTACCCATCAGTGTCTTGTGCAAACAATCCTGCTTCTTGGCTGTTGAAATAAAAGCAGTGAGTTTCGTCTGGTCCTTGTTACTGTGCATCTTCTGAAGAGAAGTGTTGGTTTTGTTGATGTTCTGCTTGTCCTTGTCTGCTCTCTGCATGTACACACATGGATTTCTGTCTCAAACAGTCCTTCCCTTTTGGAACTGAATTTAAGAATGCATGAAATGGGCAGGGGAATGGAACCACCAAAGGGGGGGGGGTGCTGGGCAGATGACTGCGCAGGTGCTGTAGCATGTACCAGGCTATACCCAAGAAAAGCTTTACAAATTGAGGCTAGGGTTAAAAAAAAAACAATAAAAATCTATTGAATTCTAAACTATTTGCAGCATGAGCTGTAAGGTACAATGTGTTACTTAAAACATATGTATTAATGCAAAAATCTTGCTTTAAGGCTTTGAGCATTTGCAGAGGATTAAGCATGAGGAAAAAATGGAAATATTCTTAGATTCTGCCACACAAACACTTCTTCTCTGGATGCAGTTTATTGGGTACTTAATGCGTAGCTTAAAGGGTTTGAAGTAGATAGATCAAAGCATGGGCACTATGTGAGTGGCTGCAAGAAGTACGAGTTAGTTATTCTAGGCCCTGCTTCTGATAGTAGTGTCCTCTAGACTGGCATCTTGCTACTTGTTTTTGTCCTTATAGTAGTCTTCAAAGAAATCTCAATTTATTTATAAATATGACCAGCATTTTCAGCCACCTAACATGTAAATGATGACCAGTGAGTAAATTCATGGACAAATTCAGGAAGGGAAAATTGTAAGCATTGCTATTAAGCACACAGCTCTACCTCTACTTAAGAAGGTCATGAAGTTATGAGTAGCTGGAAGCTGAGAGAATGTTTTGGGAAAGCATTATGGTAAACTTGCTTTGGGCATGTTGCCACCTAGCATCTGTTATCAGCCACTGATGGAGCTGGGCTACAGGGCCACCCAGCTGGTGGCTTTTGTGTTCCCTCAGGTGACTGCAAGTTGATGCCTGTCTCTGAACTTGAGCTGCCTAAAAGCTAGGCAGTTAAATCTATCCAACCACCTCAGATTTCTCTGCAGCTTTTGGAGGGTCGCGGGCACCTTGAGACAGCAGTTCATTCTGCACACCTCTGTCTGTTGCCTGTGTGATAAGGTCAGACGACTTGTCCAAAGTTGGGTACCTAGTGCTGCCAGGCAGAACTTCTCTCTGGTGCCCATTATCTGCTCTGGTATCTTCTGTCTGAATGACTGCTTACCTGGCACAAGGATGAAATAAGTTGTAAGCATTATTCTTGGAAAACTTGACTATTCTTTCTCTGGGGTTTGTAAAAATCCTACGACTTTCGAAAGCTAACAGACTTCCAAGGACTTAATCATCTCTTCCATATGACACCTTACGAATCTTAAACATAGCTAAAGGGTGAGTTCAGCTGAACACACAGCTGTCTGGGCAGGCAGCAGATACCTACCTTGCTCTGAGGAAGAGAAGACAGGCTGAAACTCCTGCAGGGAGACTTGAATGACGGTAAAGTTGGCTGTCTGAGAACTGAGCCTGGGGAGGGTGACATACTTGAGCATGAGCGCCAGAATTAAAAGCTACGTAAGTAACCTATGTCCTAGCTATGAGTCTTAGCTGTAGACCTGACTGAGGGAGGAAAAAGGTATGGTAATAAGAGGTTTCCCAGAAGGATGTTTAACTATTCAAGAAAAATCCAGACTACACCATTTGTTTAAAGCAGTTTTAGTTTTCAAAATACCAGTTTGAGGATTGCCACTACGCTAAAATTGTGTTATATTAAATCTGAACTTTTAATTACTGCTTTCTTCTAAAGTAGCCCTTAGATCATCAGGCTGCAACTATATCTGTTCTCTCAGCCAAGGGATTCTGTCAGCATTTCTAATTGCTATGTTTGGGTTTCTTTTATGGGAAGGTAAAAGCACTGCTTCTCCTGAGAGCTAAGTAATCAAGTCTGAAACTTACTATTCTTTCACAAATTGATGTGGACATTTAAATAGACAGCACACATTTTTAAAAGGCTAAATTTCAAGTTCATATTCTCATATTTGACACTGTTGACCTAATCTTTTAAGCTATGTAATTAATTGTCTTAGCAGATTGTTCTTAAAATGACTAGGAAAGTGGTGGTGGTGACACTTGACATGCTACACTAAGGTCATATTAGCATCTTCTACTAGTTTTCTGCCATTTAAATGAGTGTTCTGCTTGCTGTTTTTTTCTGCTGTTTAGAGTAAATATGTCTATCTGGAAGAATAAATACATGTAAAAACTGGATATGCATATTTTTATGTAACCATAGTTCATATTTTTGCCAGCAAACTCTATTAAAAGTAAGTAAAGTTTCATTAGCAAGTATGAGGACCACACTATTAAATCCATCGCACTGCTTAGAATATTTTTGTGGCATGATTTTGCTGATATTTCTAGTATGCCATTCATACTGCTGGTGCTTGTGCGTTTACATGGCTGTAAATCATTCATTACCAAAAGTACTCAAATCCCCATTGATTCTTTTTTTTTTTTTTCTGGAGGATATTAGGCTGGATTTGTTTCCAGCTGCCTGGTACTGTATTAATGGAAGAGTCTTACACTGACTGCTTCTGTTCCAGGTAACTTCTGAAACAGTTGAGCCTGTCCTTTGCTGCTTGATGAGAAGTTTTTGTGCTTCAAAATCAGAAGCAAAACTCTAGGGGGAATTACATAAACTGCAATTCTGCAGTCTTGTTGAGCCAGTTGCTGTGTGACAAACCTGGGATGATTCCACTTTGGGGTCTCCTGTGACAATCCAGTTGAAAGCAGAGGGAGAAAGTGAGTATTTGGGTTTTTTGCAATATGGGACAGTGTCTCCATATTGCACTGGAATTTTTTTGTTCCATCATTTAGTGATTTAATGAGAAGCAAAATTAAAGACAGTCATCCTTATGCTGTTAGCCTGCATAGGTTGTCTGATCCTGACCCGGGTGTCTTTTGAACCCATTGGCTAACATAAAAATAAATGGAATGGAAGTCCTGACAAATGTTCCTCAAATTTGTGGAAATGAGTGGCTGAATGATAGAGCTCTGCCCTATGGCAGAGCACCTATGGTGTGGTGGATTAATTTGGGTAGATGTGACCAAGTTGTCTTTGTTCCATGCCGTTTGATGGGAGCTGGGGGACATACAGGTGGCATTCACCTCCTGCTCAGTGGGATCATTAATAGGACATGAATAGCAGTAGGGAATTAGGGTAGCTGTGCTGGAGGGGTATGAAGGGAGTTGGAACCACAGGACATACTTCTGTAGAAATCATGCTTGATCACTTTGGTCAATCACAAATATTGTTTCTGTGTCTTCTGTGCAACTAATAATTTTTATGGGTATCAGTTCTACTGTTTGTGCACTTCTACTTAGGACTGCTTCCCCCAAGTTCAAGTGGAACCTAACTTATCTCAAAGTCTGCAGCAGTCTTGGCCACTTGCTCTTTCTGACACCCCTGTGCAGGATGAAAGTGAACTTCGGGTGTTGGTGTAGATCTGCATGTTTTGCAGGGCCAGCCAGCATGCTGCTGCTTAGGTTTCTGCTCTGTGGGGTGGCTGTGCCAGTCGTGTGTTCTGCTGTGTTTGGTTTCCAACGGTTTGGAGTGTCACGAGGCATCTGGAGTTTCGTGTTAAGGAATTGTCATAGAAGTTCTTGAAACCAAGCTTTGTCCTACTTCGTTCAAACATCTTCAGCTAGAGTTTGTGGTGTCATAACAGTTCTGGGGGACAGTTGGGAATTGTAGAATACTGGGATGTCCAGGGAACCTAGGTCAGGGAGAGGAAAGGCATATTGCCAAGCTTGGATGTCTTTTCTACTCTGGGGCTTGCCCCATGTCGTTTCAAGTAGAATGGTTTGGAGCTCTGTGAGAGACTGTAAAATAGATGAGTGGGGGGCTGGGGTGGGGTATCCAGCTGGAAATAGGGTTTGTGTATCACATTGTCTTGAGGGCTTAGCTTTTTTAAGAATTGGTTGCAGTAGAACACCAAATGGCTGCCTTTAACTGAAAAGAAAGTACTTTTGCAGGCTTGAACTGAAGTCAGCAGGGTAGATTAGGCTTCACCTTTTGGTCCCCTTATCCCACTAGATCTGTAAGTGAGCAACAATTGGAGTAGAATTAGCAATAGAGGAATGTTCTTTGTTAAAGGAAACATTTAAGACTATTTGAGCATATGTATTGTGGCTTATGCCTTACCTGACTTCTTTTTTTTTGACTTGGAGAGCAGCTTTTGTGA